GGTCTCGGCGTGCAATCCCATGCACCAGGCGCAGCAAAAACATACACCCAACAACGCCTTAGTTTCGCTGGAGTATGCATGACAGACTAGTGATCGACCACGTGGGTTAATGTAAAACAATATTGTTACTCTAATGCACTACCATGACATGAAGAACGCTGCAACATAACAGGTAGCTATGACGCGCGTCAAATAATTGATCTTAAGTCTAGGCTCCATCATGTCACCCATGTCTGAGAATCCAATGCAATGATAAGGAAATAGTTGCGCGAACTCCACCAGCAACACCTTTGGCCGCGGTAGCAAGGTCCCGTGTTGCAGCTCCACGCATCGCAGTGTGCTAGGTATCAATATCATACCAAGGATCGCCCACCAGGTCGTCATAGGTAGAAGAATAGTCCAGCAACACCCTAGCATCAGTAGCACATGTAGTAAGGTCAACTTCACTCGCCACGAACCCTTCCTTCTTTTGTCATCTGCCCACAACGTCCGAGGTCGTGTGTACGCACGTCCTCTTCGCGACATCGCGCTCCCCTACACCGGTGACTCCACCACCAAGCTCAGGGATATGCTCTCTACACACTCTACGTGATATTATTTGGGTTGCCAACGTTTTCTATTTCAAACGCGTCCAAAATGCAACCGTCTTTTGATTCATGCGTGGTGTCTCTTTCTGGTGTGATGCTTCGCGCGGGGAAGCAAAAACGCTTCATCTAGTGCTCACCAGAAACCACAACGCTCTGTATTCGCATCATTGCTGGTACTTACATGTCGTGAAATCACATCTGCTTGAGCACTTGAACTTTCGACTAGCGTCCGCGCCCGACGTGACCATGTCGATCACTCGCCTGCTAGTGCTATCCTGACTCTTGCAAACAGCTCTGCCATCATAACAATACTTCCGCGTGCCTTGTCTTGCATGTCTAGTCTCACTCATGCCGTCAAACTGGATACTCTTGTCGGATACTCTTGTAGGACACTCTTGTGGGACACTCTTGTAGGACACTCTTGTGGGTCACTCTTATGGGACACTCTTGTCGGACACTCTTGTGGGACACACTTGTGAGACACTCTTGTGGGACACTCTTGTGGGACACTCTTGTGGGACACTCTTGTGGGACACTCTTGTGGGACACTCTTGTGGGACACTCTTGCGGGAGACTCTTGCGGGACACCCTTGTAGGAAACTCTTGTGGGACACTCTTGTAGGACACTCTTGTGGGACACTCTTGTAGGACACTCTTGTGGGACACTCCTGTAGGACACTCTTGTGGGACACCCTTGTGGGACACTCTTGTGGGACACTCTTGTAGGAAACTCTTGTGGGACACTCTTGTAGGACACTCTTGTGGGACACTCTTATAGGACACTCTTGCGGGACACTCTTAAGGGACACTCTTGTGGGACACTCTTGTAGGAAACTCTTGTGGGATACTCTTGTAGGACACTCTTATGGGACACTCTTGTAGGACACTCTTGTGGGACACTCTTGTAGGGCACTCTTCGTACGAGACTTCCTCCAAAAGTCACACGTCAAGTCTCCAAAACGAGCGTTTCGTACGAGACTTCCTCCAAAAGT